TTGCCCAATAGTACAAGTCACCACTGAAGCAGCAAGATTTTAACTTCTATGACTGTTTCCTCACAGACATACTCACCAGATACCCCTGGCATCAGGCCAGTCTCGTGCCATCCCAGATGCCAAGAGAAGAGGAGAAACTGGCTTGTCAAACAAGAAGTGGTCATCAATCAGCTGCTGCTGCTCTGCATCAGTCATGTTCCTCAGAGCATAGTACTTTCCCTTGAGATCACCGTCCAGACTGCCCAGAGCTGAAAGAGAGAGACTCTTTTAGAATGGGGCTAAAGGTTCTACACTTTCCCAGCACGTTGGAGACCACACACAAAGTATGGCAATGTTTGATCTGCTGGGTCTGGTTCCTCTCTTGCTTTCATCTGCAATAGCAATGCCCTTGTGGCAGAACCTGAGGCAGTATCAGATGATTTGTCTGCACCTTCCAGGCTTATACAAGTAGCCTTTGTTCCCTTACATGCAGTATAGAATCATTACTGCTGCTGAACTCTACAAACGGAGACTGCTTTTTCTTCCAAGGAGAGCCAAGGTTATGAATATAACAAGCAGTATTATTCTAGTCAAGGACTGTTACCCTGCCCTTGAGAGGTTTTGAAACAACTACACACTCAGCCTCCAGAACTGCACCTTGAGCACTGGGAGGCAATAGGGAAAAAAACAAAAAACAGCTGAAGAGCTTCAATGAAAACCAGTGCTTATTCTAGTCAGCTGCAGATTTGGAACAAGACTACATCTCTAAGCAAGCTGAACACTAATGAAAGTCAATTAAATGCAGCCACAAAACACTGCACCCCATGACTCAAGCGCTGTAGTTGCTACATACCTGTTATATTTCAGGTTTGAGCCCTGATGAACCAACCTCTTTCCCCACACACACAGACAGAAGCTTTTGAGATCAGCAGAGGTCAACTTTAATGCAGTCCAACTTCCCTCTGCCATGTGCTCTCGCTCTCAGCTACAAGCTGCAATGCTGAGCCAGCTCTAAAGCAATGAGCCTTTTCCAGGGAAAGCTCCAAGCTCAGACTAAATCTCCAGGGAGGTGCCTTTTGCCAAGTGCCTCCATTTCCAAACTGCAAAGAGCACCTCTTGCACAAAGGACAGGACAGTGTCCCTGGTGCACCCAGCTCTCACCTTACCTTCGACAGAGAGCTTCTCGATGGCACGCCGCTCTCCTCGACTGCAGTGCGGGGGAAGGCAGAAGCCACGGATGCTCCTGCCAGTTCTGACACGGGAACTCAGCACGTAATTGGGATCCAGGTCATCCCCTCCCTGCAAGGGGAGCAAACCAGCAAGCATAACCCTGGCACCAAGACACCTAAACACACGTAGCCTCCATGCATTTAAGAATGCACTTTAGACCTGAGGCAGTGACTCCCTGGCCTGTGAGGCAGTGCCTCATTTCAGGGCAATTCTCTTCAGCATCATATCAAGTGTAACACAACTCCTTCTCTGAGGTCAAGGCTACAGATACTAAGTAGCCCTAGAAGACAGGGATATGACCAGAACATCAGCTCCATGTCTGTTTCAGACTGTGGTCTGGACTTCTGTTATCCCTTACAGATCTGCAATCTAGAGACATCAACATGAGGCAAAAATCTTCTTTAGGTATGAGAATTATTCTTTACTGTTCTCCCAAGTCTCTTTATTTTCAACATGATTTATGGCTAGCGAATCAATATGGAGTTAGGAACTCCCAGAGTTTAGCTAACAGCAACCTTTAAAATCTGTAAAATTAAGAATCCTTACTCCTAGCTGTAAAAATATTTATTCAATGGCATGACACCATCAGCTGGTAATTAAGATCCAAGATCAGACATAAGAGTGTTTAAATTTTATGGTAGTCCTTGATTTCCAGGGCAGTGTTTAGGTTAGAGCCCACAGCTCACAGAAACACACACTGAAGGTGTTTGGCACAACCCACGCTGCTGCAGCACCTGAGAAAAGCTCCTGCTGCACACGAGCTGCCCAGCCACTGACACCCCACAGCAGCAAGCTCTTCAGGCTGCTTGCACCAGATTCACAGCCCAAGTGCCCCTGCTCAGTGGAAGCAAGGGGACAGAGCCTGAGCAACCAGCTTAGGCAGCTGCCAACACCTTCACAGTCCTCAGACCAATAATCTGTAATTGATCAAAACTTTATACCTGCAGGTTATCAGCATTCAGGTCAGTCTTGTGCTGATCACTTGGTTTGTAGCCACCATGCCTGTCTTCAATAACTGGATCAAAGAGCTCCTTGAACACTTCATAGGATTCTTCATCACCAGCCACACATCCTACTGTCATTATGAAGGGATGGCCTGGAGTGGTAATAAAGTCAGAAGAGCTAAGTTTGGGTGACATTTGGCTGTACTCCAGTGCAGCACTAACCAGGCAAGTTCTTTAGTGGCAAGTCTAGTCACTTAGAAGTTCATTCTTACATAGAAACATTTGGAGAGACCCTACATTTTACACTTCATCCAGTTTGTCAAATGCAGTGCTATGGAAACCCATAGCTATTGTCATTAAACCAGGCTCATTTGTCAAGCTTGGTTTAGGACAAATTTGCACAGCACATCTAATTTGACTAGCTAATTTAGATCACTGCATAGAACTTTATGGCTAAACAATCATGCTTTGCTGCAAGCAAGCATGCTTTGCTTTTTGCTCCTTCTGCTACAGAGCTACATTTCTGTAGTCTGCTCATAAATGCCACCTCCACAAGATTAGTTTTAAGTCACCATATTCAAAAGCACCAGTTACTTCAGCTGGTTCACACGGAATATTCTCAATGCATTTTACCAGGATTATCAACCCCAGTCTGAATGACATCATCCAGGGTGAAGCCACTGGGCGTGACTCTGTCTCTCAGTTTCTCGTATAATTCCAGGGTTAGAACTTTGGCCATGTGGTTGTTGTGGCTGCTCAGGTCCGGATACTCCTCATCAGGAGGCAGTCTCTGATTATTTAGTTGGGCCATTTTGATATTGCTAGAGTAAAAATAAATACTGTAATGTTAACATGTAAACACATCTGCTCCCCCTTTTTCATAGAAGTGCTAGAAAACATAATGTAACCAGTTTGGAATAGGAAGAGACCAAGACTGCCAGGTAATATTTTTTCCCCCCCCTCCTCAGATGAGTTATAATTAGAACGCATTTGGTTTGACTTTTTTTTTCTCTCCAGATTGAAAGTATTTAGCAGAGCAGTTACATAATTGAAGTGTCTGGGAATTGGTGTGTCAGATCACAGCATGAAACATAGCTTGATGGAAACATGGCCTCCCAACAGAGCCATGCCTTTAGAGCAGTCTCTCGATGCTTTAGATTTGTCCCTCAGTAGCTTGAGAACTTTGGGTTCTCAAGCATTGTCAAGAAGCACTTCCAGTCAGGAGGGAGAACAGATCATTATGCAGACCTAACGATCCCATTACCTGGGTTGTCAACCCCAGTCTGGATACAATCATCCAGGGTAAATCCACTGGGAGTCTGTTTATCCCTCAATTTCTGGTACAGGTCCGGGGTCAGCACCTTAGCCATGTGATTGTTGTGAGCTTTCAGGTCAGGGAACTCCTCCTCAGGCTTGTACTTCATCTTCAGGAGGTTGTGGCTGTTTGAGAAGGGCATGGCTGACCCTACCGCAGTCACTGGGGGAGAAAGACGGGAAGCCTTTCACTGGGGGTTTGGCAGCCTCCGGACCGCCCGGGGGAACGCCAGGCACCCAAAAGGTCACCTTGGCTCACGTTCCACCCGCGCCCTTCACACCTTTGCGGCTACACCACCTTCCACAGGCGCCGAGG